CAACATCTTCTCTGTTTTAACAGTGCACAAAGAACAAAAGCATAATTTATCTTTCCTTTAGTTCTAGCAGCAACTTCATTAAAGCAGGAAGGTAGCTTTTGCGACTCTAAATTTTGATGGTTCTTTGAGTCTGCAGATTGCTTGAAGATGGCACCTGTTGCTTCTGGAGTTTTTCTAGACTTGAGCAGAAGAAACATCAAGGCTAGATGCAGGGCACATATATGGAGAGTCTCTGCCCTTAGGAGAGACTCTTCAGATCACAAACAGAGGAATGTCATTGGCTCTGGGTCCAGACACTCTTGCTTTAGGACAAATTGGCCATTTAAGCATGAAATTGATGAGGTTGTCCAATTTAGTACATGTGTTTACTCTATACAGGTAATTTATCTACCCAGTGGTGGTGGATATTTCTAGGCTATGAAGTGCCTTTTAGTCATTATTTTATGTTCACTCAAATTTATATAAAAGTTGTGATGAAGTGGAACATTAAAGTTTTTAGTTGTTGGGACATCTGTGTACATGTGTGTGTAAACAGTCTACCATACTAGGTCAGACACAGTGTTATTTAGCAGAAAGCGGGAGAAAATCCACTGATGGATTATGAAGTCTGCCATTTTACATGTCCTCCAAAGGAAAGTTAATAATTTAGGCATAAGAAATTATTGACGAATTACATATCTCCATTTGCCATTTTTATAAGGGAACTTCTTAGACCCATCCTATATTTATATAAAAACTCAAACACATCCTAAATTTCCCAGGTATATGTTTTATTTCTATTTTACTCTCCATATGGGCAAACCTTGCTTTACGTAATAAATGGATCCCTGGAAAACAGTTGCTCTATAATTTAAAAAATGGAAATACTTTCAAGGTAGTATCAGAACTTGCTTTTTAAAGAAACTGTGTCACAAGCTATTTTGAAAATGAAGAATGCTTTTGTGAAGTGAATAATTTCTTTGATTTTCACACAGTTTTATTAAATTACACATCTAAAATTTATAAGTAGATTAAGATTGTCCAGAACAATAAGTGTAGGTAATAGAAAATAGAACAGATAAACTCCAATTTACAACAAACAATACAAAACAGGAACGATTAATGGACTGCTTATTGATTGACTATATTCAGAAGCCCTGAATATATGAATTATTGGTATTTTATGGCTTTAATTAAGACAATTGTCTCTTATGAAGTTCTATAAAGTGCAATATTAAAAAATTAAAAAACCCAAAAGGCATCCATTGTCCTTCAGTTTTATCCTGATGAGAAGAACTGGAGATTTGTTTAATTAAATGGCAAGGAGTTATCTACCCTTAGTTCGCGCATGTAATTTCATCTTTAAAATAATTTTATTCAGGGATTCAGACTTCTTTCACTTTTTGTTTTTGTTATTGGTGACACGATTAAACAATTAGTATTCTCTCTTGGTTAGATGAGTATTTTAGAGAACCGTTAGTTCTCAAGGCCTTAGTCACTTTTGGATCCATTACGAAGGACTGCGCAACCCCATGTGTAAGAATGCGGGAGAAATTCCCCTCCTTTTGGTGAACTGGAGCCCATGTTCCTAGGCCGGGACACCAATCAGCAACCCTGTAATTCCTATCCAACCTACCACACAAGGAAGCGAACACACCGCACTGCTGGTTGGTAAGAGGAGATCCAACCATTTCCCTGTTTAAAATGAAAATGTTAATTCCTTTTGGTAAATCAATGCAGGTAAGTGCAGGCCCAGAGTTTTGGAATGACCTAAAATGGTGTCTCTCCCATTCTGCACTCTTTGTGTGTGGGATTATGGACTTGGAAACAGTTTGCGAACTTGACCTCACCAGAGCCGCACGATAACACTGCGCCCAGTGTGCATACTCTTTACCTGAGGATCTATGCCTGTTGGTGTTCTTTGTATTCAAGGACTACTGGTGCTCTTGAAGGATTTCTACCACTCTACTCTCTTGTGGTTTTGAATTCTGTCCACATTTTCGTAGCATTAGGAGGGATTCCCCTCAAGAAGAAGTCAATTGCACAACACACAAGTTGTCGGGAGCAGGGGTCTAGCATTTTTGGATAGTCACATTAACGAGGAGGTGGAGACAATGCTCATTATACTTGCCAAGTACAAGTAAACTGGGCAGATTGGTGGTGAGAACCTTGTGGGAGAGTAAGAACTGGGTCCAACCTGGCCTTGAAAACTGGAAGTGGGGTTAGAAATAAACAGACTGAGAGTCAATAAGGCTGAATGGAGAACAGCTCATAGTAGGGCTGACACCTGTGCAGTTGTGCTGGGGCAAGCTGAGGGATGCACCGGCTTCACCCAGCGTCTTGTAAGAAAGACACAGGGGTCATAGAGAAACAAGATAAATGTAAATCAGCAATGATGTGCGACTTTTTAAAAGGTAAGGGCAACAGAGCAGTGCATAAAAAGGGAGTGGAGCATCGGGTTTGAGGCTGTGATTCAGCACTGTTCAGACCTTAAACCTGTGTCATGATTTAGTCACAAGGTTTCATCATTTAAAAACATTATAAAGCATTAAAAAGGCTTAGTAGAGAGGAACTGAAAAATTACTAACAGGTTTTAAAAAAAGACTCAGAAATAAAAATCTAAAGACACTTCTTTTTTTTTGTCCTTTTTGAGACCGGCTGCACCGCGCTCAGCCAGTGAGTGCTGTGAGCGCACGGATCATCCCTATATAGGATCCGAACCCGCTGCGGGAGCACTGCTGCGCTCCCAGCGCCTCACTCTCCCGAGTGCGCCATGGGCTCGGCCCTAAAGACACTTCTGATGAAAATAGGTTAAGGGTTTCATAGTGGTGACTTCCAACGATATTAGGGGTAAAGAATGAACAGTGCCCAGATGCAGCTGTTTCCTGACAAAAAGGCAAAAAAAAAAAAAAAAAAAAAAAAAAAAA